GTAACCACGTATTGTCTGACAGCTCACTGCACACTTCATTTCTCGATTTAAGAAAAGTGATGATTTCAGGCATCAGTCCTGAAACTCTTTACAAGCTGTCTCCCAACTTAACCACCTCACATCGGCATGAAGGATTAGTTCACTGTAGGCAGCATCAAGCTTGTTGAGTAAGGATTTAAACAAGCAGTAATGAAGGGTTCTTGCTTGAATTGAGTTCTTAGCAATTGTCATTACATGAGAAAAGTCCAGAGCTTTATGTGTTGATGCTTGCTATTGGATAATACAGTGGCAATTGACAAAAGAGGGAAATCAGAATAATTTTTGGAAAATGCCATAAAACCAGCATTGTGCACCATTATAGGAACCAGTTTCTTGATTAGAATGTTATTTTTCAAGCATGTATCTTTTGAATTTGTTGTTGATATCCTCAATTTTGTTCTCTCTTTAAGGGGCAAAAGGGTGAGAAGATTCACTTCAGTTGTTAAGTTCTTAAAAACCATGCACACAAAAGCAACCAACTGAACTGTGTTGGCATGTCAACGGATTCATCAAACTGCAGTGAGAAACATTCACAGTCCTTCAGGTCCTGTTGTACGTGCTGAAATGGACAAACATTCCAATTGTTTTGATACGGTGGGAGTTCCAAGTGACGTGGCTTGTGTTTCTTTCTTGTTCATTCTTAAAGTCTTTGAATAAAGGTTCAGCACCCACAGGCAATGCTTCTTTAAGTACTTTGCCATCTCTGAATATTTCTCACTTTTTGCAGGAAGGTGGCAAATGAAACTGATGTGTCAGTGCAGGCCTTATCTTCAGTGCAGCAGGAGCTGGCCAGAGTTGATTGGAAGAGGAGCCTAGCAGGGAAGACAGTGGAGCAGTAATGGCAGGAGTTTCTGGGGGTAATTTGGGAGGCACAGAAGAAATTCATCCCAAAAAGCAGAAACTTACAAAAAGGAGGATGAGACAACCACGCCTGCCAAGGGAAGTCAGGGACAGCATAAAGGCAAATGAAAAAGCATAGAATGTGTTGAAGATTGGTGGGAAGCCAGAGGAGTGGGAAGACTTTAAAAACAAGCAGAGGATAATCAATGAGGAAATAAGTAGGGAGAAGCTGGAATATTAGAGTAAGCTCGCTAGTACTATAAAAGAAGATTGCAGGAGCATTTTTTATAGGAGTCTAAAAGGTAAGGGAGAGGCAAGAGTGGACATTAGACCATGGAATATGAGGCTGGATAAATCGTCCTGGGGAACAAAAAGATGGCGGAGGAACTGAATTGGTCCTTTGCACCAGTCTTCACAGAGGAAGACACCAGCAGCGTACCAGAACTTCAAGAGAGTCAGGGGACAGAGGTGAGTGTAGTGGCCATCACTAAGGAGGTGCTGGGGAAGCTGAAAGATCTGAAGGTAGATAGATCACCCAGACCAGATGGACTACATACCAGAGTTCTGAAGGAGATAGCTGAGGGGGTGATCTTTCAGTGGAGTCACGGAGGGTCCATGAGGATTGGGAAGTGGCTACTGTAACACCCTGTTTAAGAAGGGAGAGAGGCAGATAACAGGAAACTACAGGCCAGTTAGCCTAACCTCGGCCATTGTTAAGATTTTCGAGTCCATTATTAAGGATCGGATTACAGAGTACTTGGAAGTGCATAGTAAAACAGGGCTAAGACAGCACAGCTTCATCAAGGGGAGGTCATACCTGAAAAAATCTGTTAGAATTCTTTGAGGAGGTAACAAGCAAGTCAGACAAAGTCAGTGGATGTGATCTATTTGGATTTCCAGAAGGTCTTTGACAAGGTGCCACACGTGAGGCTGGTAAATAAGATAACAGACCATGGTCTTGGGGCAAGGTACTGGCATGGATAGAGGATTGGCTGACTGGCAGAGGCAGAGAGTAGGGATAAAGGGTCTTTTTCAGGATGGCAACCGGTGACTAGTGGAGTTCTGCAAAGGTCAGTGCTGGGGTCATAACTATTCATGTTATACATTAATGATCTGCATAAAGGAACTGAGGGCATTGTTGCTAAATTTGCAGTTGACATAAAGATAAATGGAGGGACAGGTAGTGTTGATGAAGCGAGGAGGCTGCAGAAGGGCTTGGACAAGCAAGGAGGATAGGCAAAGAAGTGGCAGATCAAATACAATGTGGCAAAGTGTGAGGTTATGCACTTTGGTACGAAGAATAGAGGTGAATAGAGGTTCCCAATGGGGAAAGGTTTCAGAAATCTGAAGCAGAGAGTCCTAGTTCAGGATTCTCTTGAGGTTAACATGCAGGTTCAGTTGGCAGTTAGGAAAGCCAATGCAATGTTGGTGCTGCCCCCATCCAGGCAAGTAGAGAGCATTCCATCTCGCTGCTTTCTTCTGCCTTAGAGATGGTAAACTAGTTTTGCGGAGTCACAAGGTGAATTGTTCACTGCATTTTTCCCCATCTCTGTCCTGTTCTTATATCCACAATATTTAAAGCACGTCCATTTTACTACCAGGTCAATGGTAATCTCCAAAGTGGTTTAAGTTGAAACGGCGAGCACAGGAAGTCAAGATCACCCCTATGGACAGAGCAGACGTGCTCTGCAAAACAAGTCAACAAGTCTGTATTTGTTCTTGCCAACGTAAAGGAGCCCACATTGTAAGCAGTGAACACGGTAGAGTAGATTGAAAGAACTATCAGTAAAACGCAGCTTCACCAAGGAAGTGTGTTTGGGGTCTTGGGCAGTGAGGAGGGAGGAGCTGAATGGGCAAGTGTTTTGGCTTCTGCGATTGACATTTCAATAAACTACTTTGCTTTCAGGCTAATATCTCTCTGCTGGGCTTGCTGCAATGTTCTGATGAAGCACAATGCAAGCTCAAGGAACAACACCTTACTTTCCGCTTTGGAATTTTACAGCCTTGAGGTCTCAATATTAGTTTCCATAACTCACAGGGCAGCATGGCGGCTCACAACACCAGGGACCCAGGCTGGATTCCAGCCTCAAGCAACTGTCTGTGTGGAGTTTGCACGTTCTCACTGTGTCTGTGGGTTTTCTCCAGGTTCTCCGGTTTCCTTCCACAGTCACACAGATGTGTAGGTTGGGTGGATTGGCCATGGGAAATGCAGAGTTACAGGGACAGGGTGGGATGCCCTTCAGAGGGGTGGTATGGACTCGATGGGCCGAATGGCCTGCTTCCACACATCAGGGTTCTATGATAACTTCAGCATTATGTCTGTTCCCCATTTTTTCTTAGATTCTTGTCCCCCACTGTTTTGTTTGTGTGTCTTGCTCACTTTGCTCTTAGTAGGGGGGATCCTCCTTTCAGATCATCTCTTTCACCACCCCTAACAACCCTTTTGTCTTCTGCACTGAAATTCTGTAAAAATGGATTGTCCCCTTTGTGGACCAACAGTCACGTTTTCACACATCTGCATCCAGTGAATGGCCTTGATATAAGCTTTGGCTTTGTGCTACAGCAAAAAAAAAGGCCAGCAACATAGAGTAGCATCCAGAAACATTTTAAATTAATTCATGGGATATGAATGTTCATGGTGGGGCAGCTTTTATTGCCCATTCCTTGCTGTCCTTGGGAAAGTGGTGGTGAACTGCCTTCTTGAAGCCCTGCAGTTCACATGCAGTAGGTAGATCCGTAAAGCCATTAGGGGGGAGTTTTGATCCATTGACACTGAAGAAACAATGATATATTTCCAAGTCAGATGGCTAATGGATTAGAGGGGAACTTGTAGCTGTGATGTTTCCATGTACTCACTGCTCATTCCTTCTAGATGGAAGTGGTCATGGGTTGAGAAGGAGCTGTGTGTGGAGCCTTAGCAAATTTCTGTAGCACATTTTGTAGACAGTATACATCACTGCTACCCAGCATCATTGATAGCACTGCTGAATACTTTGCTTATGCAATGTCAGTCAAGTGGGCTACTTTGTGCTGGATAGTGTCGAGTTTCTTGAGTGTTGTTGGAGCTGCACACATCTAGGCAAGTGGGGAGTATTCCATCACGTTTCTGACTTGTGCCTTGGAGATGGTAGATAGACCTTGGGGAGTCAGGAGGTCAGAAACCTGCTGCAGGATTCCAGTTCCAGGATTTTACCCAGTAAGAATGAAGAAACGGTGATATATTCGAAGTCTGGTTGGCGAGTGGTCTGGAGCTGAACTTGCAGGTGGTGGTATTCCCCGTATCTGATGCCCTTGTCCTTCTAGGTGGTAGTAGTTGTGGATTGGGAACGCTATCTAAGGAACGTTACACCAATCATAAAGACTCTCTCTCTCTTCAAAAGTGATGCCAAGTTCTGCAAAAATTGATCAGTACTGAGAGAAAAAAGACTGTGATCTGAGATCTTTCAAAAAAAAACTGAAATTTATTACAGGATGTCTCCAGAAGAATCACCATTTTCAATAAAACTAACTTCTTAATTCTGATTAGTTCAAGGAGATCTGGCATGTTCTTTGCAGATTTAAATTATGCTCAAGTGTGAAAGGAATACAGCCAAAATTGCACCATTTTCAAAGTTCAGTAATCATTGTTTATACCAACCTCAGGACTGAGAGAGGAATTTACTCAGTCCACCAAACTTTGTTGTGACAAGATGAAATTCACAAAAAAGAGAAAATGGTGGAACTTATTTCAAGGTCAGAGGTCACACGACACCAGGTTATCGTCCCACAGGTTTATTTGAAATCGTAAGCTTTCTGGTCGCTGCTCCTTCGTCAGTTGGAGGAGCAGCGCTCTGAAAGCTTGTGATTTCAAATTAACCTGTTGGACTATAACCTGGTGTCATGTGACTTCTGACCTTGTCCACCCCAGTCCAACATCAGCACCTCCACATCACGGCTACCAACTTATTTCAAAAGGAAGGAAATGTAACTTGATCATCACTTTAATATTTCACTGGATATTAACCATGAGTTGATAAATATCTAACTTTTGTGATGTCATCAAATATCAAATCAGGTATGGTCAGGTTGCATGATCAATAAATGGTAGCTTTATACAGCTCAAAGCCAACAACGATACTTACTTCTTGATTCTTTCACCAAACGATGCTGCTGTGTCCAGGAAATTTTGAACTGTAATAACAATGTCTTGAACCATGTGGATCTTGCCTATCAAGCCTTTTTTCTCAGAGTCCTAGAAACAATAACATACACACTATCAGGACAGCAAAGCAGGTAGATAAGGTGTTAGTACGTGATGGACACAGCAGTTATGTACAGAGCCTACTACCCACAACGATATCGACTTCTACTATAGGACATTATGGTGTTGATAAGTTAGGATCATTCATGTCAAAGGCCAAATTTGCCTCTACATAGAAACCTCAGACAACAGATGTTCCTTCCAGTCAGAGGTCTGAGGAAGGGCTCACACCATTCCCTTTAAGTACAAAGTATCTTGTGGCTTTATATGTTTCAGTGATAGCTCCTTTTGAGCTTAAGGAATGAGAGCGAGAACAAGAGTGATACTGACATAATGAAATAACGTACAACAAACCATCACATAGAGATCAATAATCAAGGAACCCTGAACTGTCATAACTCTATAGTGTAACATTGCTTTTGTTCACATATTGTGTAAAAACTTTGATTTTTTCTTTGGCGGCCTAATACACAGAACTGTGAACTGTTTATTCCACTGTATTTTCGAGTCAAACAGAAAAGCACAAAAGGATATAGGACATAACCAGTTGCCAAAATTAATATTTTGCTTCAGTTCCTGGGTTCCTAATCCATTCTCAATGAACACTTTCACCATTCACAGGCCCCTTCCCCACTCCCTGTAGACACACACTCTGTTCCATAGACACATTCCATTCCATAGGTCCCTTCCCTATTCCCTATGGACACACACTCCATTCCATAGACACATTCCCCATTTCTATAGACACACACCCCATTCCATAGACACATTCCCCATTCCTATAGACACAAACCCCATTCCGTAGACACATTCCCCATTCCTATAGACACAAACCCCATTCCATAGACACATTCCCCATTCCATAGACACATTCCCCATTCCTATAGACATGCACCCCATTCCAAAGACACATTCCCCATTCCTATAGACACACACTCCATTCCATAGACACATTCCCCATTCCTATAAACACACAGTCCATTCCATAGGTCCCTTCCCCATTCCCAGTGGACACACTCCATTCCAAAGACATATTCCCCATTTCCTGTGGACCCCAACTCCATTTTACAGGCACATTCCCCATTTCCTATGGACACACACTCCATTCCACAGGCCTCTTCTCCATTCTCTACAGTCACACTCTTCATTCCCATGACACCTGCCCATTCCCTACAGATGCTTCCCCATTCAATAGAGACCTTTCTCTTTACCCCTTTGAGTATATCAGACATGTTCACCATTTCCCACTTGCACATTGGGGTACATGTCAAATTAAAAATGTTTAATTAGAAATTAAGATTGTTTCAAGACAGTCAGGAGGATAGAACCAGAAGATATAAATTCAATTAGTGAAATCTAAATCTAAACCTGATCCTTTATTACAAATAAATTCTTTAGGCTGAAGGCAATAATAACTTGAAATAATTTGCTACTGGAGCAAAAGGTTGAAATTGTGTAATGTGGGAATCTGAATGAAAGAGGAATGCACTCTGTTGGATCCAATGACCTTTTCACAGGAGAGGAAATAGACAAAAGGTCGAGAAGCCTATGCAGGCGTTTGTATCAGTCGCCGTGCCATCTTAAACCAGCATGTACGGTTCTGGTCACTCAGCTATAGAAAGGATATTGTTAAAATGGAAAGGGTGCAGAAAATATTTACCAGGATGTTGCCAGGACTGGAGAGTTTGAGTTATAAGGAGATGTTGGATAGGCTGGGACATTTTTCCACGGAGCATAGGAGGTCGAAGGGTGACCTTATGGAGATTTATAAAATCATAAGCGGCGTAGATAGGAAAAGTCTTTTCCCTCGAGCTGGGGAGTTCAAAACTACAGGGCATAATTTTAATGTGAAAAGAAAAAGATTTAAAAGGGGCAACTTTTTCGCACAGAGGATGTTGCATTTATGGAATGAACTGCCAGAGGAAGTGGTAGATGCAGGTACAATAGAACATCTGAAAAACATTTGGACAGGTAAATGAATAGGAAAGGTTTAGAGGGATATGGGCCAATTGCAGACAAATGGGACTATTCTAGTTTGGGAAACCTGGTCAGCATGGATGAGTTGGACCGAAGGGTCTGTTTCCATGCTGTATGATTCTATGAATGTGGACATTCTTTCATCGTGCAATTAAGCCTTCCAAAATTGAAAGTTCTCTTGCAAGCTAAAAATTCTTTGTAAGTATAATTCTATAATATAAATGACAACAGCACAAGTAGGTTCTGTTTTGGGTATTTAGCACTGTTTAATTCTATGGAATTTACTTTTTCATATTCTGACTATTAAATATCCACAAGGCTGGACTGTACACAATGACAGAAGCCCTGTGATAATGACCATTCTGAGACTGCTGAGACATAATCAGTTGGGAGTCATTTTAATTTTTGACTACAGTCTGAAATCGATGAATCAAAATCTGCTGCTTGTTGTCAGTGGGGAAGAAAAAACTCCAGGAAGACATATATTGGATGATCAATCAAAAATTTTATTCTTACACCCAGTCAGAAATTAAAGCAATACAAAGCACTAGTACCCACAATGATATTGACTTCTACCACAGGACATTATGGTGCTGATAAGTTAGGATCACTCGTGTAAAACAATCGCCTCTCAAATCTTTTCTCCATCTCTGTCCTCTCACCTTAAAAATGTGCCCCCTCATCTTGAAATCTCCTAAACTAGGGAAAAGACATCTGCCATTAAACCTTTCTATACCAATCATGATTTAGAAATATCTATAAAGTCACCTCTTGACCTCCTATCCTCCAGTGAAGAAGTCCCAGCCTATCCAACCTTTATTTATGACTCAAACTTTCCATACCTATCTCTTCCGACATGTTCCATTTCAAAGAGTATATGAGGATATCAGATTCTGAGGAAGGGTCACTCAACTCGAAACGTTAACTCTGATTTCTCTCCACAGATGCTGCCAGACCTGCTGAGCTTTTCCAGCAATTTCTGCTTTTGTTTCTGATTTACAGCATCCGCAGTTCTTTCAGTTTTTCTTACGTGTATGATCGCCTCCTTGACATGAAACGGCATTGAAAAATTCTAATGGTTGAGCAACAAAATGTGTCCATTCCCATTCTTTCATTCCTGGATGCGTTAGCACAGTGACACACTTTAAGACCTTACAGTGAGCTTCTGCATGTTTCTGATGTACAAAGAAGATTGCAATAATAGATCATTTCTTAACTTACAAGAATATTGATGATAAAACAAAGAATAGCAGATGCTGGAAATCTGAACCAAAAACAGAAACTGTGGGAGAAACTCAGCAGGTCTGGCAGTGTCCATGGAGTGAAAGCAGAGTTAATGTTACGGATCTAGTGACCTTTCTGCAGAAGTATCTCTAGACCTGAAGCATTCATTCTGCTTTCTCTGCAAGAAATATTGATGATCTGCACTGCTGGTACCTGTAGTTACTGATCAGAAAACCCACCTATGGACTATGCAAGGCTATTCAGTTTGAATTATTCATTCTCTACACAAGCCTACTTCCAGCTAACTTAGTCAGTATATCCTTCTATTCCTCTCTCTCAAATGCTTATCTGGTTTCATCTTAAATATTTAAATACTATGCACCCCAGCGACTAATAATTCTTAACAATAACTGAAAAACCCTTAACAGCCATATATGCATTTTATGTCCATTTGTAACTGTCTGCTCTGCCCCAGGTAAGCCAATGCAGTTTGGTACTCACAGCCAGAACAAGCTACTGGATATTACAGGAAGGGACCAATGTGAGTCTGCCTGCCGTTTACAGGAGGCGAGAATGGGAAGCTTGCTGTTCGCGTGATGGAGTCAAGTAATGTTTCCCACAAACCTCCAGGACAAGTTTACACTTGCAGCTGTAAGTGCAAAGTACAGCTGAGAGCAGGAGGCGAGACTCCTGCTGGGTTTATTCGCACTTTCTGATCATACAGCACAACAAGATAAAAACACTACTTTACAGCAGAATGCATAGCTGTTTCTGGATACAGATCTCAAACTGGAATCACTGTGCCTCTAAACTCCACTGTACCCGACACTGTAGCAAAAATCTAAGACAGGAACATTGCAGGGTATCTCAGGCTCTCTTTAGGACTTCACTTTGGGTCAATACCACAATTTTTAAAGCCAGTCTATTTATATTTACAAAACAAAGAACAAAAATCAAATCTCTGGCAGGTTTCGGTTTCCTGTCCAGTTACCCTCTATTCACTCTGGATATAAATTTATTGACATGTACATGTACTGGTTTCTGAATTGCTACTTTTCTTCCTACTCTAAAAGTTAAACACAGTTTGAAGCACAGAGTCCCTAAAGCTTCAACCGACTGCTGTGCAAAAATCTTAATCTTTATTTTATCACCAGTCGTAGACACAATATTATTTCAAAATGAGGTAAGGTAACAGCCTGTGGTTTATAGCAACTGTTATGTCTGATATATCGATGATGCTGCTTTAAGAATGCTCGAAGATGACTTTGTGAGAAGTCTTATACTGATGGGTCTAGGCCACTTGGAGACTGGTATAGCACCAGGAATGCAATAAGCTTTTTAAGAAGCCTGTCAGTGGAAATCCACATCTTGCACAAATTAAACTGACTCTCTGTTTACATTTACAGGATGTGCACATCACGGACAAAGCCAGAATTTACTGCCCATCCTGAACTACCCTGGAGAAGCTGAGTTGCTGTCTTGAACTGCTGCGATCCATCCAGCTATTGTGCTGTTTGGGGAAAGAGTCTCAGGATTGTAATCCAGCAGCAGTGAAGAAACATCACTGCGTGTCATGGGGAGATGGCGAGATTCTCTCGTTAGAAACGGTCATGCCTGGCATTTGTATGGACATAAGAGTAACTTGCTACAGAGAAGCCCAAGCTTGAGTGCTGTCCAGGCTGGCACAGGGGCTGCCCTGTTAGCACGGCTACCTCACAGTGCCAGGGACCTGGGTTTGATTCCACCCTCGGCCAACTGTCTGTGTCGAATCTGTACATTCTCCTTGTGTC